TTACTTTAGAATTTGGCTCAGTTTTTGAGGAAATAATGAAAATTCAATTTGATTTCAAATTTCAATGTAGGTGCTCCCAAGACTCCCATTGTGATTACTCAATAAACTCATTTAAAATTTTGGGACTTTCAGTCACCCATGGAATTTTATACAGGGGAATCATAAAAAAACAATACACATCCAACTTCAACATCATGTACCTCAAAAGTGAGGCAAGTTAGGATACCTGTTTATGTAAACTTTATTTCCTAAAATATCAGGAGGATTCACCCTGTTGCACTTATTCACTACCACCCTGTGTACACATTATATGAAACAAAGTCAACAATGGATGTATTTTATTTATAATAATTATGAAGGGCAATGGAATATGTTTTCAGATCAATATTGAAATATTGCTTTTTCAAAATTAAAAAAATTCAATCATGAGAACTAATAATGAGGAAACTTAAAAATGGGAATAAAATACTAACATCTCCAAAGGTGAGGCAGCTTTTTTCAATCTCTTTTTCCCAATGGCATCATTGGAAAAATGTCTCTCACACACAAATCCACTTGGGGGTAAGTTGACTGATGTGGCATCAGCCCACAATTGTAGTTCATCTTTGTCCTGGAATTATAATTTAACCTCCACTTTTAAATAGAATTTTATGGAGTTATTAGGGGAGCAGGGCATAAAAATGAAGTACTTAAGCAGTACATATTTTATATTTACCAATTACCAGAGCTTGTTTGTCTAAGGAACAGCAAAGCTTTGGAATTCTTTGCCAAATGAAGTATTCCCAAGAACATATATAATCTCTAGTTGCACTTTGTGCACCACAAATGATAAACATATAATATTTACACATCTTAGCATGAGCAAGGCAGGAAGGGGAAGGGTTATGCCCCTAGTCAAGTGAGTTACAAATGCAAAGCATTTTTCTTCTGGATAAATCATCAAGATTCATGCCCTGCCCTTCCTTATATAAATTGTATCATCTATAATGATTGGAAAAGGTGCCAAGAAAATTTATTTTATTGAATTCAATCTCATATATTGGTAATGGATTAATGCACAACATAACTCATGTCCTAGCTGTATCAATAATGATAACTTTTGTTAACTGGTGTATTTCCAATATTTTAATTCACCTCTCATTTTATTCTCAAGTAGATTGTTGTCATGCATGATATTGATAGGTAGCTATTCTGCTAGAAAAATAATTTAGTTCTTTATGTAATGATGAGTAAATATATTGAAAATATTAATTCCTACTCACTTTTGGTACAGAAAACATTCGTATTTCCGGATTTTTATGTGATCCGCACACATAACAGCAACGCCAGTCCATGATAAAAAAGTACACACACTCACAACACAATACAAATAATACCTAACTACTTCTGAATGGTTATAAGAAACGATAAATTTGAATAATTTTAAATTTATCAAGATTCACGAAGCTCAAAAAACCATCTCAAGAAGAAGGACTTGGGACGTGAGACGTGACAATCTTGACAGATGTCGAGTCAAAATGTCATGAAATTATATTTTTTATTTACCTTTTGCCACAATCAGTTTTATCAACCTTGATCGTTCATTCTGTTCACGCCTACACGCCACCTAACGCTGAACATGAGAACCCCACGTTCCGAACTCGCATTCAATTGTTCCATATCGAGAGCTAGTCTGACGAAACAATTGACAAGTGGGCACACCATAGGAATTATAAACATCTCAGTACCCTCCATACCGCTTTCTCTTCCAGGGCTCCAATATAAGCCAGGCAAATCAGAAACGAACGAGGGGGAAATGTTGACAACATAAATATGGACTTGGCAACAATTCTCGAATGGGGATCCAATAATAACTTGGAACTTACTTGGAAGATTTCAATGCAAACAAAACACAAACATGCCTTTTCTCTAGATAAGCCGATCTCACATTTCGTCAGTGACAAGACACCAATTTTCTGGCTGACTTATATATTGACATGTCTTCCTTCACTCATACAGGATGAAAAATATAATCAAACAACTAAAATATATCAATGAAAATAAGAGGAAATATTCCACAGGAACACTCCCTCCCAGTGATGAACACTGGTTCATTACTTTTCAGCCTCTCCTTGTGGTTTTTCAACATGCTACTGCTACTCGTATATGGCCATCAGAACCAGGATGAACAGCTATGACGATACCTTTTGGCCAGGAATTCCTAGCGAAATCTCCATCAACCAAGATGACTATATCGCCGACTCTGATTTCCCGTTTAGATGGTAAAAACCATTTTGTCCGTTTAGTCAAGACAAGCAAATACTTTATCCAACGGCGCCAAAAATGATCTGCAAATAATTGAGATATTCGCCATTGTTTCCTGCCTTCATCCAATTTGCCTGGAACTTGAGCAGAGCTTGAAGTACCCAATAAAAAATGATTCGGAGTCAATGCCTCTTCGTCAGTATGATCTAAAGAAACGTGAACTAGGGGACGACTATTGACAATGTTGATGAGCTAAAGTGTTTGTCTGATAATGAGATTACGAAGAGAGAAGTTCTTAAAATTGTTATGACAATTTTTGATCATCTTGGATTTCTGAGCAACTTCACCATAAAGGCAAGAATTCTACTGGAAGACATCTCGACTTCTAAAATTGATTGGGATGACAAAATCGACGAAGATATTTTGAAAAAATGGAGATTTTGGCTACAGGAACTGAAAAACAATACCTTTGAAAACATTCATTTCGATGCTTGGTATTATACTATATCAGCAATAACCTCTCTTGGGAAAATCACGTGAGATCAATTGGTAAAAGTGCATCCCCAAAAACTTGGTTTTCTTTTTCGGATCAAGAGCTATTTCACTTCCAGTCTACTGCTTATGATCTATAAGGCATAGATCCGACCTGTCCTGGGATACTGTTTCCATATTTGGAGTGCTGCACCCAAACATAACCTGAAACTGTCGGATTCTGTCCAAAAAAGGGAAATTCGTCTCGTGGGTGATGCCTCACTCACAAACTCACTCACTTCTCTGGAACACCGTAGAAAAGTTGGCGATCTGGCTCTATTTCATAGATATTTTCATGGCCGATGCTCTTCTGAAATATCAACAATTTTTCCTCCCTTGGCAGTCTCCGCGAGATTAACTCGTTGAGTTGAGGCTTCGCACCCCTTCGTGGTCACTTTGGAGACCTGCAGAACATCTCTTTCCAAATACTAGTTCATCCAACGAACAGCGAGGCACGTATCTGGAACACCTTGCCAAGGGAGATGTTCCCCGAGGCATATAACCTCCAGAAATTTAAGAAGAACACCAATTCCTACCTTATTTCCTTCGGTTCTCACGATGTTCTCTGAACATTACAAAATATCCCTTTTCGTGGGAACCAGAACATAAAAAACACCCTCCTTTCCGCATAGGCGCTTAACGATCCTCCTTATACTCTTACGTAGTCACAAAAAGTTGATTTTTTGTGCATTGATTTAGATGATCACTCGGTTCAGAAATGTGTACACTCACAGCAACATTATCGTTAATAAAACGGTAAAAGAACATAAATCTACATCATTATTGGATAATTTTACATTTTCCAGGAACCAATATCTCTTTCTGCATAGCGCTTTGCACTTTGGCCCTGAATAATTGTTCTGGAGTTTTTCATTTTCAAAACTATTTTGAGGTATTGCCAAAGATCTTCATTATCTCAACAAAAACTAAACTCTTCGCCTCTCTATGCAAAAAAGCAGACATAAGGGTATAAGGGACATGAAAGAGTATGATGATATTATTGATGATTCTACAAAAAAAAAATCGTAAAAAATTGTAATTCTCGTTTATCAAATTTTTTTAGCCTGAAATTGCGCAACATCTTTTTGAACGCAATATTGAAAACAGAAAACGGAAAAAAGCTTAAATAATTTTATGACAAAATTCATCTTGTTCATGACAACTCACTATACTACTATTATAGATACTTGTTTTTTCTAGCTCGATCACTTGTTGAAGTTTGTGCATTAAATTTGTACAAAATAGTATACTCCTATTTGACGATGATTTTCTTGGTTTTCTTACATCTTAGATTTATTTGGTGATCATAGTAAGCTCAGCCCTGTGAGCACCTAATTTATCGTTTCGAAAAAAAAAACTGAAATCCACTGGTAGATAGGTATTGTTTTTTTGACATGGAAAATACAAGACAGACTTTTCGAATGAGTTTTTTCTTGATTGCGTCTGATTCTGTCTGAGTTTGATCTGGTTTGAGCCTGAAAGTATTTCGCGCTCGAGTTGTAAACAACATTTTTTTTACAAACGTCAAAAAACATAGTTCTAAAGTGAAGATATGCTTAGTTCGATATAAAAAATAGTGTTGAACTGGCTCAAAAGGCCTCCCCCTATACTCCCAAGGTACGCACGTTGTTCCACGAACATAATAGGAATTTCCTTTCGTGCGCTCCAAAAAAAAAAACAAAGTTATTGGAGAACATTCAGAAATGAATGATTTCGTGGATGTTTGCTCGATTGAGGACCATAATGTTGAAATATAAATATCTCATATATTTTAAATAACAATGCGCTGAGAATGGTACTTCGCGCACTGTTTTACTTCGCGCATTGTTTTTTGCCAGGTATCATGGTAACGTAGGCAACTGAAAAAATGTGTCACTTCGCAATTTGTTGAACCTTGTCATTTTTCGACGTTTGTAGAAAAATGAAGTTCGCAAACTGGCTATTGGATCAGCAGATAAATAATGATATTTTTCACAGACAAATCAGGGTTCACCAAAAATGGTACCATGAATTTATACCAGCACCCGTACATGGGCCCATGTCACATTATCGTTTCGCATCATAGCATCAAATTCAATCAGTTGATATCTGGGCTGATCCCACCACTCCTACCGGCCATTTCTGGACCCATGTTTATGTAAACTCTTTTTACTATATCTGTTCATAGAATCTATAGTTGAAATCTTCCTATGTAATTTTGGGACACCCTGTATACATATTTGTACCTGTTGGTAAATCTGGTCTCGCCATGTAGACGTCGTTCCAAACGTGATAGTTCCAAATGGAATCTTCTCCCATCGGGTTGTTGGGATCGAACGGCATCTCTTCATTTTCTTCAGTAAAGTATTTGTCGACGGTGAGAGTCGAATTTGCATCGTGGGCAGAAACTAGGTTCGAGACAACTCTTGATGGGATGCCAAGAGCTCTGCAAACTGAAAAATATAAGAAAAACAAATCTAGTCTTGTCTGGTCATGTTACCATATCTAGAGATTCATCCTATATACGAATTTATATTCAGTAATGGAATTTTTTTCATGAAAAAACGAATACTATTCAATACAAATACCTATACATACAGTGTGTCCCGCTGAAAGTGTATAACCAACTAAATACAAATCATTTCCATTTGTATGATAGGATTCCACATTACTTTTTATGCTTTATTTTCAAAAACGCGAGTGGAATTTATAATTGTTATGGTAAGAATTTCACGAAATATTTGTACATTTGGTACCCAGCGAGCATAAAAACATTACAGAGATGTTAAAAGTACGAGATTTCGAGCCAGTGAACATCCACTGCGATGTTCTGTTTAAACATGAATAGAACTTTTATAGAATAGCCAAAGTCCGCCGCAGGCGGCCTTTATAAAGATGTCTTTGAGATGTCACAAAAATAGCATCCTAGTTTATTTCGTACCCTTCTCATGGACACAACAGAACATTTTCTAAGCGTCTCGCGCACATTAAGCAGTACATAAATCATTTTTCAGGTACTTTTCTGAAGCCTTTTGTTAAAATGATCTACTGTATTTGAATTCCATTCCCCTTCGAAGAAACAGTAATGCATTAAATTGGATTGAACATCAAAATATTTTCTCAATATATTGAATTACCTCCATAATCGGTTTCTATATAAGTAGTGCTTGCTACACACTGACATACATTTGCAAATAGGTTTCCCAATTTTTGAAATGTTTTGCCGCGCTGCATAATTTTGTATCTGCGGAAAAGCTGTGTATTGATACATTTGTACTTTTATATTGATTACACTGAGACACTGAACAACCCATCTTGCATTTGCTGATCATTATTCGCTATAGCACAGTTGTGAGAAGCTGCAAACGCGAATGCGAACAAGAACAACGAAAACGGAAAGAAATCGGAATGTATCGTATTGTGACGTAAGCATGCGTTGTAGTGTGGTATACAAAGCAATGGCACAGAAGAACAAAAACAAAACTTACAAAAAATTGTGGTTGTTGTAAAATTGTTCTATCCGTCATTCGGTTGTCCTCTTACGAGCAACCCTCAGAAGTCTTCGAGAGTCTTGTGCGAGCAAGGAATAACGGGGACCTCACCTTTCAAAGTGTGATCTCAAACACTTTCTTGGGCCATCAGAAAAATTTCTGCAGTCGCGGGGAATTGAACCCACGACCGGCAAGAGAATGCCGATCAGAATACTGAATATCACGTCTCAAAAAAAACTTGTTCATGCCAACATTTTAAAAAGATCCCAAAACATCCCAGGGATGTTCGTGCTCGTTGGGATATATAGATAATGAAAATGAAATAATCGCATGAAACTGTAAATGTCCTTACTTGTTGTTACCACTCCTGAAAACACCCAGCACTGCCCGTACGGTACGGGACTCTGGGTCTCTAGATATTCCCGGAGAATCGGCACAGATCCTGTCCAGGCGGATGGAGCGGTACCATCTTCGTAATCCCCGTCCCATCTTCCTACCAGAATTCCATCGTCATCATTGCTGTTCACCATCTTCGAAATGGTTCTGGTCAGTTTGATCGGATCACCGCGACTGAAAAGATGAAAACGCTATTTATGATACAAGATTTTCAGTGATATACGTATATGGAACATTTCTGGACCTTTCAATCTCCTCTCCATTGATTCAAAATTGGTCAGAGATACCTACCAAACTGTTGTTTCGCATATCATTCGTGGTAGGTAATAACATCATTTTTCATTTCATTTCATTTATTTGATCAGGTTATGTACATACAAATACGTTTATGACAGGTCACATGATAGTATAAACATGTTTAGTAAAATATATAAAATATGATGGTATAGACAATAATTCATATACTAATTATAACTTATAACAGAACAACATATCAGAAAAAAAAAACAGTACACAATCTCATCAGATGATTAGAGCATACTAGCAAGAGAGAACGGGTGGATATGTAATTCTCTTATTTGATTCACGATTCAGTGACATTATTATGTAAACCCTGTTTCATGAAGTTAGTATATTCCTCAAGGGAGTAGAATGCATTTTCAATCAGACATGATTTGATAGTTCATTGAAGTTGAATATATTTATTTCTTTGACTTCAGTGGGAAGAATATTATATAGACTGTAGTTTATAGAATTCTTTATCGATTTAGTGAGCCGATATCTAGGCAATCTAATCATTGTTGCTCCTCTGGTATCATGGTGATGAACGTCTGAATGCGTTGTTAATATTGAACATTTTTTGTGAATATCATCAACCGTGTTCCAGATGAAAAGTGAAGGGAGAGTGAAGATTTTTAATTACTTGAAAAGAAGTCCGCAAGATTCTCTATAATTTGCATTGCTCAAGATTCTTATGGCCTTTTTTTTGCTGTCTGAAGACAGTAGAAGTTGAGCCTATGAGTTACCCCACAGTAAAATTCCTCAAATGAGGTGGAACTGAATTAAGGAGAAATATACCATTCTGAGAGTATTAGTATTAGTGATGCGTCTTAGTTGTCGCAAATGGGAAAGTAAGCTAGATAGTTTCATATTCAGTTGCCTAACGTGAGCCGACCAATTGAGCTTATTGTCTAGAGTCAGGCCCAATAGTTTTACTCCACCCTCTTCTTGTAACGACGTGGTAGTAGTGATAAGGAGTTTCTGAGTTTTTTCGTTGTTCAGTTTCAGTTTGTTGGCGATAAACCAAAGTTCGGCTTTTTCCTCTACTTCGTCAGAAAGAGAATTTAGGTTAGGTCATATTCTTCATGAGAATAAATCAATGTAGGTCATCTGCGGATAGGATCATTGATGTAGATTATGAACAGTAAAGGGCCCAAAACAGAACCTTGAGGAACACCAAATCTCACATCTCTGAATTCAGATAGTTTGTTGTTGGTGAGACAGAACGTGCTCAGGGTGTTCGTGGTTTGGCATGAAAATAGTGATTTGTACACAAGAGGGATAGGTTTATTCAAACAACCGCTGAATTAACACAAAAAACGGTTCAAACACATTATTCGAAAACTCACTCTTGATAACTTACCTAAAATAACATCAGTCGCTTCTGCGAATAAAACAATATTTATTATATTCTCAATCAGATTTAGCAACCGCACCAGGCTGTTATTTATCGTATATTTGGATAAATTATAACGCAAAACCCAAAAGCAAAAAAGTAAGGCCCGGAAAATACACATAAACGACTCGAACCGTGACGTGTTGAAAGGTATTTGCTAATATACCTACCAATCATATTCCTGGGAAAAACATAAAGCACTATATATCATACAAAAACTACGGGTGTCAACTGAAAGCCCCGTTACATTGGCTGTGAGAAATAAAAATGTACATGAATATAGTCATTCACAGTTGTTTATATTGGTCTTCGATAAGCGATTGTCATCGATGAGATGCAAATAAGGTCATCTCAGTAAGAATGTTGTCACTATTCAGGGTACACAATTCTATACAATGTGCAATATGTCTTGTCTAGGTATGTATTTTTGTCACAGTAGTGAGCTCTGGTAGAGCGATATTTTCTTGAGGAGGCACACAATTGATATACATTAAATAGGGTATACCGAAAAACAATCTTTATGGTTTGAAATCGTTGTACCTTTTGTATTGTCTTATATTTCGAATATTTTTGTTATAATATCACTCAGAAGACTTCCATATGGAACAATACACGATAGGTAACCGAACGAAATCATCGAATTTATCATGACAACCAAATGACAATCATTATTTTGAATTAGAATAGAAATCGTCAATATCGTATATGTGCGGATTGCATCAACAGTAAGTGACAGTACCAAAAACTTCGTTTGCAACTTCTGAAGATACGAATACCGAATAGGGATACCATTATGCAAGAACATTTCCACAAATAAATGCTCATAGGCGTAATATACATAGATAGGGAGCAAATTTCAGCAGCTTTACATATTTCCAATAGGGTGACTTTCAGTCACTTTTTCTAGCAAACGAAAAAACTGTATTTTTTCCCCCTCTGTATTGAAGTAACAAAGATTATGCTGAAGTGTGAAGAGCCCCCAAGAATCACCTAACTTTAAACGAAATTTTGTTACCATAGCTTCTCTCAACTCAAAGATATCAGCATTTTCAGAGGTCATGATTTTCGAAGAAAAAAATTTAAATTAATTTTTATTTCGAAAACGGTAACAGATAAGTATAAATATATCAACGGAAATTGTTGGAAATTTGTTGGAGATTCTGAAAATAATACTATATGTAGGATGTTTCTTTTGAAAAATCGAAGTTGCTAGGTCGGGTAGTCAAAAATATGTTAGTTAGAGAATGTAGAATTTTCAAAGTGACCGGATCACTGGTTTACCAGTAATGTCTAATCTGCCACACACCGTGAAACAGCCTATCTATTAGGTAAATTTAGATATCGGTACGAAATATCTATAGCTGGGGATGTTATATAAAACAACCGAGAATACAAATTATAAAGATGCTTCGTAATAAATGTTGTATCAATTACAACTAACTCATTTATTCACAACCTTCGAATCGCACGGAAGGGAATTCCTATTGTGTTCATGGAACATCGTGCTTCTGCTGCTGGGGATATAGGTATAGGGAACTTACCTTATTTGAACTTTCAGGGGTCATAGGTTCTAAGAAGCACTTCCCTGATGAGACAAGATTCCAAAAATTGGCTGCTCGTGGAAGAAAGAGTTTTGGTATATAAAAAAATCTCAAGGATGATGACTGAGCTTGTAGATTAAGGTTAACTATTGCTAGCGATAAAAAATATATCCGATCTATAGAAAAGTGAAAAGTTCCCAGCTCTCCGCGATGTCCCACATATGTCAAAGAACTTGTGAGTGTGGTGGTATTATCGACAAGGCCAATAAAAGAGTCTACACAGACCAAACATAGGCTGAAGGACCTCTCGTAAGGTGGATAGACTACACACCATGATGAGTTCATGCACGACTTTACTTAGTCCTAACTAAAAAATTAGAGGTGATTGGTGAATTCAAAATTGATATATGAAATCAACCAATCATCACCTCTCATTCTTATTACGCTAAGACTAAGTTAAGTTGTGCAAAAATTCACCATTTATCTAACTACTCAAATCCTCTTCCTGTCAGTTTCTTACCTAGCATGAGTCAGTCCGGATTTTTCAAACATCATCACAATGGCTGGCAAGACGCAATCATCAAATTGCCCGAATACCCATTCTCTGCCTTTGCTGGTGCCTAATGGACCCACCCAAATCTTCCCGACATCTGTCAGAACGTATTCTTCCAGAAGCCTTTCCTCCGGCATATATACCAAATCATCTGAAAATTGAGTATATTTTATTCACCACTTATATTGTGTGTAATATATAGGTGATAGCTACTTATACAGGGTGACCCAGGGTTAAACCGCCAAACGTTAAGGGTCGGTTATTTGGGCAAAAATAAGACTTTTTTTCTAATGAACATATATCCTAACTTGCTTTGTTTTCGATATACAAGGTGTCAAAGTTTTCAGAAAAATTCGGTTCTTCATTAATTACGGCAGATTTCGATGAAACTTGGTATGCTTATTTGCGGTGAAACGGAGCTCCATTTGATGTAATCCGAATCAAATTATTTCCATTGGCGTCCCAGAAAGTATTCAAAATGATATAAGGATATTTTTGTTTCATTATTCTATTAGGAAACTGATAACGTAATAGAGGGTAATCTAACTGATATTAGGACAAGTCATTGTATGACTTTTTTTTGTATGTTCAATATTGTTTCATTAGATTAAGCAATCATAAATATTTCTTCGTCTCTTGTTTTCTTATACCACGATTCTTTTGTGAGAAAATAAAAATAAAAACCATTTTCTAGAATTCAACAGGAAAAAGCACATTTCAACAAAAATCAGATCGAAGGTAGCCGAGCACGATTTCGCCAATGATTGGGGATTTGTTTGTGCCCAATTCTGACAACATGTGCCGTAATTAATGAAGAACCGATTTCTTCTGAAAACTTTGACACCTTGTATATCGAAAACAAAGCAAGTTAGGACATATGTTCATTAGAAAAAAAGTCTTATTTTTGCCCAAATAACCGACCCTTAACGTTTGGCGGTTTAACCTTGGGTCACCCTGTATATCAAGGGAGGAATAAAGGTATCCATTTCCATTTCCTCCCGCGTGTGAAATTTGATGCACTACGCGTAGCGGAGGGGAATAAACACACATGGGAGGAAATGTACCTTTGCTCTCATGATATAAATATGATTTTATCAAAGAACGCCTTTTTCAAAGCATCATTCTTTGTGTGTTGTGCTTAAGGGGGTCTATCTCTCGATTCATCATTATGCATTACAAAGGTATAGTATGCCATGGACAGTTGACGGCATTTGAACAAAAGTCAATGTGACACTTCTGTCATCATGAATTAATTGATTTGTATATTGTGTAACTGCATTCGAAAGTTTCGATAAGAAGTACGTTCGGAATATAAAGGAGCAAATAATATCATTGGAATTCAAAGAGGTTGTTATTTGTTTTATAATACTGATAAAGATACTGATTACTTATTGGATTGCGAAGATTTTAAATATATCGACGCCAAAGGATCCATGCCGAAGCCAGTTCATTTTTCCTCCCACAGGAGATTCGACCTGGTCAAAAAGATTTTTTGAAGATTAATTCTGTTATGGAGATATGGGTTTTATTCCATCATAGGATTCCACCGAGGATTCCACACATACTGTTTACATCAACTAGCCAAACGATTCTTCAAGGTCTTGATACGTGATGGTGATGTTTGGATCACTTTGTTTGCATGTTCAGGGCTATTGGAATTACAATCAGGCTAGCAGGGACAAATCAGCGGGGTCGGGCTCCAAACCGGCATTGTCATTTATTTTCAACTCATGGAAAGGAATAGAGGGTGTTTCAGTTTGTTTCTGCCTAACTTCAATGAGGCATAGTAGTCATTGAGACGAGGAAAACAGTTTTATAAACATAGGTTCGGAAACACTCAGTTTCCTCTATTCCAATTTTTTTACAACTTGTTATAGTTGTTCGTTTTACTGGAACAATGACATTTTCGAAAATTCGTCACTATAGAGGTTGCAATTCGTATTTCCATGAAACAAAGTGCGCGCCCATGCTTTTTTGATGTTTCATCAATTTTTTAAGTTCTGCGATCAAAATGAACGTTTTTTAATTTCCGAATTTTTTACGTATCTCGCTTCGTTTTCGGTAGAAAATATTCTTGTACTATCCTGAAATCTGCATGTGACATGTTCAGAAGGAAAGCTATAGTGAAGAGTTGAATTATTTGAAACAAGGAGAGCAAGCAGTGGCGTAACTACTATACCGCGAAACCCCGCGGTTGCGGGGGGCCCGTTCCTCGGAGGGGGCCCTGGGGCCCTGGGTCCACCAACCAGAGCAAGGACTCAGCCAAATATTGGTTGATACATGAATATTTTTCAATTATGAATATGCAACAGAAATAATTTTTCCATTTCTGCGAATAGTGCAGGCATGTTTTTCCAGTGTAGGTCCAGGGTGATGTGTGAAATCAACGATACAAGCCAATTATTTCAAATAGAGAACTTGATTAACACTAGTGGTGCTTCAAAAAAAGAAGAAGGAAACGAAAGTAAGAAGATGAGAAGTGTAAAATTTCCGAGATTACCACGTTCTTTACGAATACTACTACTGTTTTGGATAATACGGTTGAATATTATGATGAATGTCCATCAAGTAGTAGCAGTATGATGATTGAAACAGGAATGGCTGTTGACTCTGCAATTATTATGGAAGAAAAACTAGTATTCCAGATTTTTTGGGATTTTCTCTCCTCGTTTCTATAAAATGAAAATATTAATATTATTTCAATATACGTGTAATAAAGACAAATCAGATGATTTGCCATAAAATGTCACTGCGTTCAAAGAATTTTCCTATCAGAGAGCCTAAAAGAAAAATTCACTAGCTTGTCAGTGACAATTTGTATGGAAAAAAGTTTGGAGAAGACAAATAAAGGTATATAGAAAAAATATAAAATTTTTACTCAGCAAATGACGACACTTCTGCTACTACTGCATTCGAAACTGCAGGTACAGATGGTGTTATAAAAACTATTATACCTGAAATCCACGAGGACCCCATACCTGACTTGAATGCGCGGCCTCCTGGAGATGGAACTGAGTCAGATGATTCATTACTGGATGTATTATTAAAACAATCATTTCCTTGTGATAAAGGCAATTTCAGTGGCCGAGAATTGAGCAACATGATAAAAATGTTCACTGTTCGTAATGGCCCGTCTCAACCAGATATAAATTTCCAAAAGAGGAGTTTCTATTATTCACAGAAAAGCCATGCTGGGCGAATTATTCCAAGAAAATGGTTAAGTTATTCACCCAAAGAAAATAAACCGTATTGAGAAGCTCTTTTTTTATTCAATATAACTAATATATTTCATGAAAAAAAGAGACTTCTGACTGGAGAGGTTTGTCTCGAGGGGTCCCGAAATGATTTTGGTAGGGGGGGGGGAATGAAGTTACGCCACTGAAAGCAAGTGGTGAAGACGAGTAAATTATTGTCATTATCGCCATTTCTAGACGAGGAAGGTGTACCTACTGAGGATTAAAGGAAGAATAAGCAAAGCCATAGTAACAGATGAAGATATGAAGAATCCAATAATATTAGACTCTCAGCTCAGGCATAGATTCACGAAATTGATTGTGGGACATTATCACAAGAAATGTTTACATCTGGGTTAGATTATGTAATTATTCAAATTCGCCCAAAAATTTGGATAGCAAAAGTTAGATCGATAATTGTAACCAAAACACATCCTGGGAAAGATGAGAGAATACGAGTCGTCGACGTCAAAATTAATGAGAAGATTTATAAATGATATGCTGAAAAACTTATTCTTAATGAGGTGGAGAATGTTGAGTCCATTTGTATTATGTTCGCGATGTTTCGGTATATTATTATTGTTGTCATGGATATAGTTAAGTGTTGAGTGTGAGAGCACAATTTATTATCCAGCTAGCCCCTATTAGCCCTTATTAGCCTTATACAGTGTGTCCGGAAATTATGCGCAAAAAATCAAGGGGGTGATTCTACATGATGAAATGAGGAATTAATTCTATATGTACGTGGGTCCGGAAATGCACAGTTTTCAACATACAGTGTGATAACACTTTTGAAAAAGATGGTTTTTTTATGAATATCTCAAATGTCCTTACACCGATTCGCTTAAAATTTGGTGATGATATTTTTTGTCATGAGGGGCTCATATAGTCATGATTCAATTGGAATTATGCGATCCAGTGGCGTCCTGGGGGGCAATCTACCGACTATTTTTGTCAATAAAATGTGCGCCACTAATTTTTTTGAATTATGTATCTTCCTAACCTATTGACCAACTAAAAATACAACATTTTGGTTTGATAATTTGCTTCATTTTCCTTGAAAAAAATGAATACCAATTTATCGCATAAATTTGTGCCAACAAATTCCTTCAAAAACTGGGGTGAAAATAAATGCCTGATCAATTTACATAGACATAGAATAAGTATGGAGATTCATTTTCTTCAAATATATCTTGATACACTCTACACTCTGTATATTGAGCACTATGTATTCCCGGTCCAGAAAGGTGTAGTTTTCGATAAAACAAAGTGCGTCAAACATGTATTATAAAATATTTGAAGAAAATGAATCCTCATTCTCATTCTACGTCTATGGACATGGACATTTAATTCCACTCCTCTTTTCGAAGCAATGTTTTGCACAAATTTATACAATGAATTGGTATTTATTATTTCCGCGAGAACGCAGCAAAATAGCAAAACAATTCAGGAGACCAAAATGATGTATTCTTAGTTAATCATTAGGATATGGAGATATAGAATTTCGAAAAATCAGTGGCACACAATCACAATTCCAATTTAATTATGGCTAAATCTGCCCCTCCTGACAAACAATATCATTGCCAAATTTCAAGCGAATCAGTGGAAGGATATTTGAGATATTCATAAAAAACCAATTTTTTTCTGAAAACTATGCTTTTCCGGACCCAAGTATATATAAAATAAATTTCATGTTTTCTCATGCAGAATCACCCCCTTGATTTTTTGCGCATAATTTCCGGACACCCTGTATAAGCCTACGATTTGCCAAATCACATATAGTGCAGCGGGACACAGGGTAAAAGTTATCAAAAAAATTTTTGAGAGTAGAAAGATATCAGACCCACACTATCCTATCTAGAAACTATTGACTCATTAGAATCCAGCTTGACTACTTTTTTCTATGGTACCGAAAAAA